GGGATGCGCGGGGAAGGGAAGGGATGCGCGGCACCGGGATGCGCGGGGCGGGCGGGCGCGGGGCCGGGGCGGGGTGAAGCCGTGCGGCCTCTCCCCGCAGAGCCGCCATGGAGGTGTTTATGAAGGGCTTGTCCAAGGCCAAGGAGGGGGTGGTCGCCGCAGCTGAGAAGACCAAGCAGGGGGTGGCCGAGGCCGCCGAGAAGACCAAGGAAGGGGTCCTGTATGTCGGTAAGGACCGGCTCGCCCTGCCTGCCCCCTGCCCGCCCCCTGCCAGTCCCTGACAACCCCCGCTTGCCCTCTGCCTCTCTCTCCCCGGCTAATCTCTGCCCGTCCCTGCCTGCCCTTGCCTGCTCCTGCGTTTGCCCTTGCGTTCTCCTGCCCATCCCCCTGCCGTCCCCCTTGCGTCCCTACCTGTCCCTGGCCCCGCTCCCCCTYTCCCCTGCCCTCCCCTGCTCCTTCCCTGCCTCAAGCACCCTGCGGCAGGGTGCCCCGGGGCAGAGGGTCGGTGCCTGCAGTGCTCGCTGCCCACCGGGAATCTGCAAGGCAGCAGAGTGAGCTCTGCGGGCAGGAGCAGAGTCGGGGGCTGGTCCCCAGGCTGAGGGGATGGGACCCTCGGGGACTGGAGCCCTTGCAGCTCTCAGTCTGAGCCCGAGAGTCTCTGGGCTCTGTGCCCAGGATGCTGTGGGGCAGGAAAGCAGAGGGACCGTGACGGAGGTGGTGACCCCTGTGTTGGGATGTGCCTGTCTTGGGGCAGGGGGGTGGGGWTCATATGTGCCCTCCTTTAAGAGGCAATGCCCTGGAGCTCATCCCACACCAGCATCTCCCCTGCACCCGGCTGGTGACCGAGGGATCCCTCCGTGCTTCCTTTTGGGCCAGGATCTGTTCAGGGCCAAGTCCTAGAAGACATGGCTGGCAGGAGGAGCAGTTCCTGGGCAGTCTGTGTGCCTGGCTGTGGTGCTGGAATGCCCAGAGAGGGAGCTCAGGACAACCCTACTTGCAGTGGGAGGGAGGAGGGCGCAGGGCTGGAGCTCTGTTCCACTCCAGAGGGCACAAGCTCTGTGGGAGAGCTGAGGCCCCAGAACTGTTCCTCTGGGCAGTGGTGTGTGCGTGCCCTGGGCCCCCTTCCTGCCCAGGGTGTGTGTGCTGGACAGGGGTCCAACAGCTCAAGGAATGCCCCGAGGCCTCATCCTACAGGAGCTGCCCAGCCCCTGCCCTTGCTTCCATCCTGGACACCCCCTCCCATGCCGTGAGGTGTCCTGGGTGGTGTCACTCTGCCAGAAGGAGCCTGTCAGGGTTGGCACAGCCAGCAGCAGCACCMAGCTCCAGGCACYCCGGCTGTGGGGCTGCCCATGCTCTGTTGGCACCGGCTCTGGSTTTGGGTCCTGTGGGAGGTTTTACTCAGCAGCTCGGCTGGTGTTCGCCCTGCCCGGTTGTGCCCTGACGTGGTGCTGGGCCCTGGGGTCTGTGCTGTGCCTGGCACACAGTGGTGGCCCTGTGTCACCCCAGTTCTGGCTCCTGCAAGGACCAGAGGAGCCTTGAGGGGAGCCAGGCAAGTGCTCAGCYCTGCAGCTGCCCTGGCGTGGGGTGTGGGCAGGATGCTGTCCTGGCTCAGGGCCCTGCCAGGGTCCTGGGTATGGCACATGTCAGAGCCCAGCTGTCAGTCCCTCTAACCCCATYTCTGTCTCTTTCTGCCCTCAGGGAGTAAAACCCAAGGTGTGGTGCAAGGCGTAACCTCAGGTAGGGGCCCCTCTGTCTCCCCACCGCGGTACCCCTCTGGCCCTGCGAGCGTGGCCACACTAACGAGATCAGAGGCTAATTGAGGGGCTGATGTCACTCTGCTAAAGCCTCTTATGTAACAGGGCCGGCAACCAAGGATTTGCGGCGGCTGCTCACACTCCTTGCCCAGCTGCAGAGCAGCGTCGTGGCCCCTTCCCCTCCCCAGCAGGGCAAGGATGTGGGAAGAGCCTGACCCTGCCCAGCATCTCCCCATCAGCTCCCCCCGGGTGGTGCAGGGCATGAAGCCACAGCTGGGCACCCCGTTTGGCACGGGAGGGGCACTGATGGGCACCCCCGGCTCTTGCAGTGGCTGAGAAAGCAAAGGAGCAGGCGTCCCAGCTGGGCGAGGCGGCGTTCTCGGGCGCCGGCAACATCGCGGCRGCCACCGGGCTGGTGAAGAAGGAGGAGTTCCCTGCAGACCTGAAGGTGAGAGTCCCCAGGCGCTGCCATGCCCGTGGGGACGCTGGCACAGGCCCAGTTTGGCCGGGAGCCCCTCGGCTGTTCCCCAGTCCTACAGAAGTGACCACCATGGTGCCCAGGTGGTCTCTCCATGCCCAGGGCAGGCGGGCATCGCTGTCCCGAGCGTGTGCGGCCGCGTGTGCCGTGTCTGCGGACGTGTGGGCGCTCAGGCCGTGGCATGGCGGCCGGCGGCGTGGGCCCGCGGCGCATCGCTCCAGCGGCTGCGAGGTGACCTGACAGCTGCGGGAGGGGCAGCGGCTTCCAGCTCGCCGCCCCATGAGCCGTTGGCTTCCAGCTTAGCCCAAAATAGCATCAGCTGAAGAAATGAGGCCACCGCCGCCACCGCCGCTGCACAGGGGGATCGGCTGCCCCCCTTTCCCGCCTGCCAGCCCCGGGGAGGGGTTACCCGGCACCGCCCTCCCCTGCCAGGGATGCAGGATGCTCCCGCAGCCCTGCCAGCGCCTGCAGCCTGTCGAGGCACACGTGGTGCCTGCACTCGTTGTCTGCCCGAGGCTGGGGCTGGGAGCGGTGCAGGGACGTACACACACAGCCCCTGCTCCCGCAGACCTGTGCATGTCATTTCCCAGCTGGGGGGGCTGCCGTGTGCCCAGGGTGCCACCGGTGCCCTCCCCGAGGAGCCCCTTGTGTCCTGGGTGCATTGCTTGGTCTGGCAGGGGCAGGGAGGGTGGGGGCCATGTGGGGGGCTGTGTGTAWAGGGCTGACCTCCCGATTCACTCTCAGGCAGAGGAGGTGGCCCARGAGGCTGTGGAGGAGCCGCTGGTCGAGCCGCTGCTGGAGCCAGAGGGGGAGAACTACGAGGAACCCCCACAGGTGAGGGGACAAGGTGGAGTAGCGAGCACAGGGCACTGTAGAGGGAACGGTGTGACAGTGATCAGTGCRCTGTCCAGCGCAAAGCTGCTGTTGGGCTGCAGAAAGTTGGGGCTCTGTCCCCCACCTGAACTTTCTCACCGGCTCTTTCCTTCCCCATCCCACAGGAGGAATACCAGGAATACGAGCCAGAGGCATAATGGACCCCCATCCTTGCCTCTTCCACCAGCAGCACAACGAACCGCCGGTAGCCCCCTGCTCCTCCCCAGCCGGCCCCGGCCGGTGCCTGCGTGCCGGGGAGGAGCAGGGTCGCCCCTGCCCCGTTCGCTCACGAGTTCTTCCTCCAGTTCCGTTCCAAGGGACCGTGTCCGTGTCTCCGTAACATGTCTAGCAGTGAGAAACACCCGCCGTGTCCCAGCCCCCGAGCCCCGGCGAGCCCCCGAGCCGCGGGTGCTGCCCGCAGGGGCTGRTGTGTGTGCGTGTGCGTGTGAGCGTGTGCGTGAAGCCCGGGTTTATGGCTCTGTCTCCCTCCCAGCGCCATAAACCCCGGCTGTGTCCTGGCGTGTCTGTGTGTGTGTGTGTACAAAGCATGTTTACCTGCTCGCGGGCTGCTGTACATTTCGCTTGCACGCGTGTCCCTGTGGTTCTGCTCTGGTCATCGTGGAACTATTTTTTTTTTTTATATATATATMTMTCTCTATCTRTGGGTGGAYGGGTCTTTTGCCTTTGTGAWCCCTTGGCGCCCTAGCCCGCTCCCCAGCCTGCTGGGTGGTGACGGTGCCTGCGCCCCCCCTGAGGTCCCATAGTGCCGACGCTGTGTTGTGACGTGGCATGGATATTCCCCCGTCGCTGGATGTGCAATACGAGGGCAGCTGCCAGTGACACAGCTGCCCCCGTGTCCGTGAATAAAGCCAACTCTTGTCTGTAGCCCCCTGGTCCTGGTTGTGGGGTCCCTGGGGAGGGGTTGGCCCCGTGCTTTGGTGGCAGGGGTAGTTTTGGAAAGAGGAATGGGGCCGGTGCTGGGGGAGAGGGCAGGACTGGTTGGAAATGAGGACAAGATGCCTTTCTGACTGTGTCACWGCAGGTCACTGTGCCCTGGGCCTCCAGCCAGACTCTGGTGGAGATTTGGGGTGCAGGCAATGTCCCCATATCACTCGCCTGTCTGCAGGGCTTTGCATCTGCAGGGGGCCCTGTACCACAAGGCAGGATGAAGGTAGATGCAAGCCCTGGACTCCAGCCGTGGTTCTCCCCTTCCTGTGTGCCCCTGCTCCCTTCAAGAGGCCGGGGATGTGGCTGGCACCCACGGCTCTCTCCGATGTGGTGTGACCAMCTGAAGGGCAGCTGGGTGTCACACATGGCTGTGGGATGTCCACCATGGCAGGGAGTCCTGTTTCCACCCCGCAGCACAGTCCTTCAGCTCTCCCAGGRCAGGACCACCAACCCATCCTGTATCCCCAGCTGGGCTCCAGCCCCTCAGCTGCAGCACAAGCCGGGGTGAGAGGCTGGGCTGAGTGTCCCTGCCATGAATATGAGATTAGATCCCCCACCTGTGCTGGCTCGCCAGCTTTGCCAGCGAGGAGGGAAGCTGCAGCAGTCAGCACGGACACACAACAGGTTTGCTGATGCCAGCAAATCCTGCCCTGGCTCTGGTTGCAGCAATGCTCATAGCACCCACTGTGTTATTGGAAGGACTGAGACAGCTCTTTGGGGACTGGCTGGCTAATTCCCCTTGAGTATTTTTTCCTTCCCTTGCCCAATTCTGCCATCCATGGGCAAGCAGACCCAAAATAGCAGCAGCATGTCTTGCCCCAGTGCCAGGGAGGGTGTAAAGGAGCTGGGGGAGAGCCAGTGGGGGGAAGAGAGGCCCCTGCCTGGGAGAGCTGGAGGACAGAGAGCTCAAAGTGACCCTTTTTGGAAAGCAGGGTGTCTCCTCTGTGCAGCACCCCCTGTCAGCAGACCTGTGACCCTCAGCAGGGCAGCTCCCCCGGGCGCTGTGTCTGTAGGTGCAGCCGACCTTGTACACAGTGAACACCTTGTCCAGACTCTCTGCCCACACCTAGGCTGTGCCTTGCACTCATGGCTGTAATTTTCTAGAGAGAGGAGAACTGTGAGGCCTGTGTGTGCCAGGAGGGTCTGGGAGCAAGGGGGACAGAGGGTGCCACGTGTGCAAGCTCCAGGCACGAGTCCCCCTATCCTGCTCAGCACCCCCAACTTATCTTAGCAGCCCTGGAAATGGGGTACACAGAAATGGGACGCACAAAAATGTGGGAACAGAGAGAGGGACAGGGCCCCAGCAGCAGCAAGGAGCACGGCTGAGCATGAGGCTTCATCCAGGAAGGATGGAGTCACTGCTGGGAAAAAGAACTCAGGCCCTGTGCTGATTTGCAGGAGTGGTAATGGGATGCCATGGATGGGAACCCCTCAAATACAGCCCAGGGCCTCTGTAGCGAGGGAAGGGGCCCAAGAGCAAGGATGGGTGAGGGAAAGAGCYCTCAGGTACCTCAGCTGACTGCTCCATGGTGTGGGACAGTCCTGAACGGTGGTGGGAGGAAGCTGGTGTTTGTAGCATGCCCTGCTTTGCTCACGCTTTTCTGCTGCCCATGATTTTCAGTGCCAACACCGTGACACCCCAGCACCTTCAAGAGCATCATCTCCTCTGCCCTGGGGGAAGATCTGATACAACAATGAAGACTGAGGATGCAGAAGAGCCAGCCAAGRTCACTCCAACGATCCTAGCTCCCAATGATCCCTAGCCAGCAAAGGGAAGGGTTTGGGCTTTTCTTCCCCCAAATTATGTAATCTGCCATCTCCGCCTCCTGCTCCATCCCTCTGCACAGCAGGCAAGATGTCAGTGATGTGGCACCTTCCTGGGCTGCTGTTGGTCCCAGCCTGGCAGGGACTAAAGCACAGCCCTCAGAGTTGGGCTCTGTAGGACACGAGGGGCAGCCACCTTCCCTGTGGGCATTTCAGGCACTGACCACCACCCCTTTAACAACAGGGACTGGGGTGACTGGGCTCAACTCACCTGCTCATAGCCTTGGTGTTAATCCTTCTGGAATTGTAAATGGCTCTGTCTGTGTTCCACTCACAGATAACACAGGCTCCAGCCCTGTGCAGGTTTTCAGCCCATTTTGCCGAAAGCCTGCAGTGACATGGAGCAGAGGTGGTGTGGGGAGAGGGAGGCTGTGGAGACAAACGTTTCATCTGACCCTCTGTGCTGGTACCAGCTCCCTCTCAGGAGTTTTTGCTGAAAAGCACAAATAGAAACCTCAGCATAGCTGTTCTTGGTGAATGTTTTGGCTGGGTAGAGAYTAGGACCTGGCAGGACAGAGATCTCCTTGGCTTTTGAGAGGGTAGTGAAAAGCAGAGTCTGCTTATCTTCCAGCTCATCCTGTCTTTATCACCTCCAAAGCTCATGATGTTCCAAGCACAGCGTGCTGCTCAGTTCCTAAGAACCAATCCCAACAGAAAACAGATCCAGTGAGAAACAGTCCCTTGGTGGGCACCACGCAGCATCCACCACAATCTGAGCAATCCCATATCTCACACAGAGGGTGCGATTGGCTGCCATGGCATTGGCACAGAGCAGAGCCATGGGGGACCTCAACTCTCCTTTACTGGTTCAGAGGATTTTCCACTGTTTGCCCYGAAGCACTTACCAGCTTGGTACAGCTCCTAAAAGCAAAACTGACTCTGCAAAACCAGTCCCAAAACACAGCAAAAACTATCCACACRCTAGTCAAGGTCTTCAGCTGTCTCGTTCTGTGCTGTATCAGCGAAGCTGAAGGATGTGTGGAAAAAAAAAAAAAGGGATCAGCAAAGACAGGGCCATTCCTGAGGGCAGCAGCTCAGGGTGCAGCCTTGGTTCAAAGCCTCTTCCCCACAGAAGGGARCTGCTTTGGGAAGAGAGGGCTTGGAGGGATACACGGAGTGCCAGTTGCAGGCAGGACTTCAGTGTGTGTTTTCCAGTTTATTCCTTCCTGGCTGTGGGCTCAGGAATGAGCAGCTGAGGGGACTGGATCGGGCAGCAGTGCCTGGCCAAGAGCARGAGCTCCTGGAGTTACAGCAGGGGGAAGCACCTCACCGCAGTTGGGAGCTGGACCTCGTCTGCAGGGAAGAGAGGGAAGGTCTTTGCTGGAAGGAGAGGGGGAAATGCAGTGCTCAGGGTCCCACCGAGCTCTCGGGCTCCAAACCAGTGCTATCAGAGTTTACCCAGTGTCTGCTGTGGGGTGAAGATGTCTGCTATCCAGGACATGTCCCCCTCCCCAGGACTGACATCAGAGGCCAGCATGTCAGTCCCAGGCCTTGTGGAGGTAGAAAAATCAGTCACATCTTGTCTTGCTACTCATTTGCTGAGCTCCAACCAACACATATTTACAACTGGGTGATTTCTATGGGCTGGTCACTGTCTTGGACAGACTGAGAAGTCCCCTGACCAATGTGTGGTGCTGCCCATATCCCAGGGCCATCCCTCAGGCATGAACAGCTTTGTCTTTCACAGGGTCTTTTGCCTTGGCCCTTGCCAAGAGGGAGTGTGGAGGTCTTTGCTTTGTGAACAGCACTCACTCACTGAGCTATCAGATGCCGAGGCAGGAGAAATCTTCACTCCTCCCTGAGACCAGGCAGGCTGGTGAGAGTGCAGGATAATGCCCAGGTGAGAACCCTGCCCAGCAGGAGGACCAGCCTGAGGGTCCCTCTACCCCAAATTCTCAGTGCAATTAAAGTAAAATATGAAGGACCAGTGGAGCAGGGGGGCAGTGACAGACTCTGTCCCTGTCTGCTCCCCTGASTGCCAGCACACACTGCTTACAGAGCCAGGACAAAGCCTACAAACCACCTACAAACTCCTTCTTGGCTTTTTCTACAGTAAAAGGCCTTGTTGTTTTCTCGAGCTCGTGTTCCTGTGCAGGAATAACAAAACAGTTGTTACTACGGGCCCCAGGAAGAATCACAGAGCTACAGTACAGCATCCGGCAGCTGCCCTGCCCTGCCTGACGGCTCCAGGGAGTTTAGTCACAGCAGCTGGGGACCCTGGGCTGAAAAAAAGAGATGTGTGAACTCCTGCTCCCTTTGCTCACTGCCCTTCTAAGCCCTTGCTGATGTGCCCCTTCCCCCAGCACAGCAGGCAGTGGTGGGAGCATCCCCACTCCGGGCTCCCTCGGCGCGTCTCCGGTCAGATGCACCGACCCATAAAGCAGAGTTCACCCCACTCTCCCCGCCCCGAGCTGCTTTTCACAGGCGCTGGGTGAGTGTTACTCACTACAAACGTCTCCCCCCACTCGTCAGAGCAGCATCGCTGTGATACACACGGAGAGGGAGGGCTGTGCAAATGGAGCGTGAGTTATGGGCTGTCGGCAGGGAAACGAGGAGTGAACTCACCGAGTGTTTCCTTGGATTGATCCTCACACCCACCATGGCAACACAACAAAAAGGAACATCTGGAAAAGGCTGGGTGAGGCAGACAGATGTTCTCTGACAGCTCACCTGCTCCCCAGGGGGAGGAAGTGACTGTGGCAATGGTGATGGAGTTGGTGAATCCAGCCAAGGGGCTGCTGCTTCCCCACGCCACACACATGGCACCCTGCTAATGCCATGAAGGCAGGACAGGATCTGGACCTTGAGCCTGCCACAAATGCCACCAGCCAGAGCTGAATCCATGACAACCCAGGCTCAGTGACAGCATCTGAGGAGAG